CCTTGTGCAATAGCTATAAATAAATGAATAAATAAATAAATAAAGTTGAACTCTCTACCTCTTGCTTATCGAGCAGCCGCTGCCACTGCGCTTGCGCTGCCACTGCGCTATTTCGCTTCATAACTACGTTCAGAGAATCGTTTCGCAGATTTGGAGAGCAGATTCGAGATCAGCGTCCAAAAACACATCTAGTGGTGTATGTCTCGTTACAAATGGCCACTTCGACCTGGTATCCTTCCCTTGTTACTGGCTTTCTCGACCTTGATGCTAGTATGTAGATGTAGTATTGTATTACATAGAAGCCACTATTATGCTACTAGATATTTCAACGTTAAAAAAGATTTTTTCAGGAGCGCTCTCTTGGACCGCTCTTGTTTGTAAAATAAAGGCAAATAGCATGTGTTCGTATACGATAGAATAGAAACTGACTATCTTGTTGAAGGCGATGTGATCACAGTACGGCTTTTCGTAACAGGAGCTCAGGCACCATTCAATACCAACACTTCTGTTGCGGTATATGGTCCCAAAAATAACTTTGGGAGGTGGAATTTGTGTGAAAGTACAGAACAGAGCTGGACTTATCTGAAACAAACGGGAAAAGAAATCTGCAAATTTGCTTCTGAAGAAATATATTTGCCTATTCCCTTTTTACCGGTACCCGATGTGGTGAAGGTGGCAATAGCAGAGAAGGCCGAGTTACAAAATTGGGCTTCTCCTAGCAATAGACGAAGCTCTTCAAGAGGCCATTGCTACCCTTCATCAGAATGTATCTTACCTGCCAGAAATGCACCATAATGGCGAATGCTGTCGCACAGTACTCTACAGCCCGCATCGTCCTGTAATCAAAAAGAACATTAACTCTTTCAAGTATGTCTTCAGGTGCTACCCACAAAGGGGAACAACTTGTGCTCTGTTCAAAAATTACTCTGCAGGGGAAGGTTGGCCAGCAAAGTTAGTGGTAGGGCTGTAAGAATGTCCCTAAATTCAACAAAATGGAACCCCTATATCGTCTTTCCTATACGAGAAGAGCTACAACAAGTGTCAGTAAGTCAAGGGCTTTGTGCTAGTTTGTCAACATCTGTAAACAGGACGAGAGTCGCTATCTCACTGCACTATCTCAGGTATTCGTTTCAAGAAGGGATGGAACTGCAGGCTTCCATTAGCGTAATGCTGGTGGCTCATGACAATGCCCTTGATGTGTGGTCCTGAGAAGGGCTTTAGAGTTTAATGAAAATGAATGCGCAACATCCACGGATTCGTGAGCCATGTAGGTGTATCCATGGCACACCCCAGCATTAGCACTGAAAGTGTGTAGGTGGGGGGGAGCAAAAAAAGACATTTTAATCGTGTCGCACTTCAGCGATTTTTCGTTGCAAAGATTGCATCGTTGACGGAATTTCTCAGCAAAATATCCCAAAATGTCCCTCTATAGTGACGCAGGCCCTCCTTCACTGCCCTCACCGTCTTCAGAATATGACGTCATCTGTCACCGTCGTCAGGCTCAAGGAGGCCTACCGTAAGAGCTTCAGCCTGAAGCTCTTACGCAATTTCGTGAATCGATTCAATGTTGGATAGTTTCCTAGAGACATTAGCTCCAAATATGCAAACCCTCGAAAACCCTCGAAACCCGCTTTCCAGAAAACATCGTAATCCGTCGAGGGTCCCTACCATGGAACTTGTCTTTTAAGGGAAGCGATCACGCTGGCTTCTACATGGATCGCCAAAATTCGCGTTATCAACCGATATGGTCGGAGAGGGATAGTTTTCTATCGTCTCCGTAGGAATATCCGTGGCCGCTTCCTTCTAAAATGGAATGTGCTATTCAACACTAGCGTAGGCGTAATAACTTCGTATGAGCGGAAGTGTGATTAATCCATTTTGACTGTAAAGGCAAATGTCCTTTTTTATTGCCCCCCCCCCTCCTGTGGTAAGGCTGGGTGTTGTGGCTGCTGAAACGAACCGAAGCGTTGGCATATGGAACGGAGAACGTGATACAGTAGCTCAAGAGAATGTCTAGAGCGCTGTGGAGGGCAGGCTTTATATATCGAGGAGGAGACGTCACTTGGGCGAATCTTCAGGAGATGAAAGGCCATAAACATGACCATTGAATGGTTGTTTTTCATCATCGACAACTTTAGTGCTTAGGGGTATTGCCACGGTTACGAGCTCCCCTGTAGTTTGAAACTAGATAGATGGTGAATATTAAGCTAAAAACAAATGGACTGGAATAAAGAGGTAAGAAAGTCCAAGAAACGGTACATGAAAAAAAAACGTCCCATTCCCATGCACGGCGTTTGAAACCGCTTTTAACATTACAAAATTTTCGTCAAAAAACCTGAAGGTCTTTCAAAACAAACGTTTTCGAGTGGAAAGAGAACAAGAGTAAAAACTGGTTGTAAATGCTGCAGTTACCAGGTTCCTGTTCGGCCTTCATGAAACATGGGCATGTTGAAAATATTGCTCGTTTTCCTTCTTCTGCTACACAGGTTGTTACGGTGGAATTTATTTGCTCGGTCGACGTTTCGCGACAACTCGTCGTCCTTCAAGACCTGAAGTCACTTCAAGTTTTTAGCTTGTAAATTTATCCGGTCAGTCCTCTACTACTCAAGAGTTTCAAATAGAGGAAAATTCCAAATAAGGAAACCAACCTTAGCAGCTCCACCAGCGCCGCCTTTCCACCCCAATTCCTTGAGTATATGTGGAAAATGAGACACACATGACAGTGAAGCGTCATACGTGTACGTGTAAGTCTCTACTCGAAAGCCAAAGTTAAATAGCCGAAACGAATG